ACAAAAAAAGACATTTTAATTTTAAGTATTCTATTTGTATTTTTAAGCTTGGCAGTCATTGTCACTGTACTGTTGTTGTATGGTAAAAGAGAATGTTCCACACAAAAAATATATTTTAATTTGAAACATTTATTTTAAGAATAAAAATAAATATTAAAAATGAATAAAAAATAATATCAAATAAAATAAACTGAGTTCCCCCCCCCCCCAATGCATCTCACCTGATGAATTTCTCAAACACTGCAGTGCATTCTGCTGTTTCTTGCAGCACTAGCGTGCTACTATTGTGGTTTCTCAGCATCTCCTCAAACACTCGGCTCTGCAGTGAAAGCACCAGCGTGTGGGCTTGGATAACCTTGACCTCATCCGCATCCACTGTTTCCACACGTAAGGAAATGTCACTGTTATTCCCCAGCACCAGAAGGCCCTCCAGCCGTGCCACCAGCCCCTGTGAGTGACTGATCACTTCTGTGGTGCCTTCAACCAGTCCCTCTGCCCTCAAACCTGCAGAGTGAGGGGGAAGAAGTGTAATTATCCATTTCCAGTGACTAATCATCTACATTTAGTCTGATTTGTTGAATAGAAAGTGCTGTTGACTGTTGAGTGGAACTTGCTTCAAGAATTACTTAAAATACAATTACTTAATGTATTTCTCAAACAATGGGTGAGTAGTGGTAATCCATTATGTGCTTCATAAAGGCCTTGTTGACAAATAAGTATGTATTCTCTGCTTTGGCTCAGCGTTGAAACTCAATTTGCAACAATGTAGCAGGCATCATAACTTGACTGGTATTGGTTTTCTGAGTCTGATTATAGACATTTTGACCTTAAATACTACACACAGTTCGATGTGGCATTAATGGCTTGTAATGTTGACCTTGTTCCATATGTATTTTATAGATCAACTGTATAGAGCCCGGATGATCAAAATCTATAAATGGACTACATCTTTTAATTAAAAAAAAAGGTTAATGTTGGTAAATTTTTAAGCCACATTATTATATTATTTTGTGAAAGATCTCTCTTTTTTTATTATTGTTATAATTTTGTGAAATATTATAACAGTTTAAAATTTAAATGTTAAAAAAAATTTCTATTTGAAGATATTTTAAAATTTATTCCTGTGATGCAAAGCTGAATTTTCAGCATCATTTCTTCAGTTTTCAGCGTCACATGATCCTTCACAAAGCATTCTAATATGCTGATTTGGTGCTCAAGAAACATTTCTTATCAATGTTAAATACAGTTGTACTGCTTAATATTTTTGTGGAAATCATGATACCTTTTTGTCAGTATTATTTGATGAATAGAAAGCATTTAGCATTTATATGAAATATAGAAATCTTCTGTAATAAACTTTGAATCAATTGAATGCACCCTTGCTAAATAAAAGTACTTTAAAAAATGTAGTGACCCCAAACTTTTGAACAGTATACTGTACATAATTGTGATATACATACAATCACATAATAAATATATTTTATTATTAATGATACACAATTTCCTATAATTATAGATATAGATAATATTTCTTCTTCATTTTATGCCATTTTTTTCTTTTTCAGAATTTTCAGAACTTTATGTTTGCTAGTGTTTTATATAAAGTGCTATATAAATTAAGGTGACTTGACTTCTTTCTGCTAGATTCTGAATCATAGATTTACAATATAGTCTCTGGCTTTTGGACTCCTCTGTATATTGAAACAACATTTACATGTTACAATTTTACATTGTTAAAACTACACATATAGTAGAACTATCTTAACCTCCATTTTGCCCAGAAGGGAACAAGTGCTTTTAAACAGAATGTGTATTCATAATGGGCAAGTGAATCTGGACTCTCACGATCATCCAACCTAGTGCATTTGCTTGAACACTGGACTGGGTGTCATTGCAGAGTTCTCGGAAATGCCATGAGCCACTTGTGTGCATGCTTTTGTTTGCATTGGTGTGCGTGTGAACAAACCACTTATAGTGCCCTGGTTTCCTATTACTTGTTACCACATAAAGTACAAGCCGTTATGAATCATAAAACAGATCTGTAATGAAATACAACATAATAATAGAAATGAAAGAAAAGGCTCAATGGCTGATGAAACAGTTTTTTGTCATCAGATTCAAACAATATAATTGTCTTTTAAAACCAGACATGATTAGGTATGTCATTGTCTTTGATAGAAAATATGTGGGCATTATTTCTCATTCGAAAACATGCTTTTTGTATTAAAAAATCTTGATGAATTGAATTTCAACTGATATGTTAAAATCCATTGATCTCTTAACATGTATGTTTGCAAAGTGCAGACTTCACACTCCAGACTCGTTATTTTCTATCATCCAATAGATCAAACCCAGAGTTACAAAACCAATACCTCTGACACGATGTCCAAACGAAGCATCTATCATCTGGAAGAAAGCGCAAGAAAAGTCATCTTACCTCCATGGACAAGTTGCACATGAGACCCAGCAGCCAACAGCAAGAAGAGCAGGTAAATATGGGCAAGCAGCCCATTCCCCAACAAATAAGCCATCTTTTATTGTCCGATAGCCGATTTGATCTCCCTCTTTTCTGTCTGTATTTTATATTTTTGTCTCTTTCTTTTCAACCCTCTACTCTTCCTTAATTTAATTTTCTTTCTTTTGTTTCCTCCTCCTCCTCCTCTTCAGTGGATGATGGATGGTCCGTCGGCCCCCTTCTCTTTATGTGGCATATAGGCTATGGTGCATAACTAGTATGTAGGTTACTGGTTGTTTTGGGTTAGTTCCACCCTCACAATATCCTATCGATCAGTGGAACCTGTGGGGGGGGGAGTTCGTTTTGGTGGGCAGGAATGGCAGTTGCCATGACAACGGCTTTGATTTGGACTTTTCTCTTTTTTAATGTTGTATGACA